GCGAGATAAAATTTAAAAAATATTTTGTTTTTCGCACACACACACACAAGATATTTTTTTAAAATCATTAGAGAACTTGAAGAAAAATTTAATAAATTTATAATTCATATAACCAATTTCATCATCATGAAAGATTTAACAATAATTTCAATAATTTCATCAAAATTAACAGAAATCAAAACTAATTTTGATATAAGTACACATTGCATTGATATATCAACAGCAAATACATGTCTGAATGAACTTGAACCATGGACGCAATCATTACTCCATATGGTTTGTGGACTTAGCATCTGTTTATTTTGTTATGTTGCTTGTAGACCGATAGGTGGATCAATCTTGTCAAAAAATTTATCGAATCACTACGATTATAGTTGTGCTCAATTCTAGGGATTCTTCTTTTCGCACATTATATTTTAAATTTTTTTTTTTTTTGTAATTTTAAATTCATTTTAAAAGCATTTAATTGTAAATAACATAACAATAATAATAATAATAGTAATAATAATATTAGATATGATTGTATTTTTTTCTTATTAACAAAATCATTCTTCCGCTTCCCCTAATATTTTAATTAATAACGTAATATAAATGGTAATCCAAGAACAATCCTGTAATTGTGTAACATTGGGTAAATATATATATCTATCAATACACACGGGTTGGGTATAATTTACATGTAGAAGAGAGAAGGAAGAAAAAAGACTTGTAAAATATATATATTTTAAAACTATTTTTATTCTTTCTATAATTAATTAAATAATTTCTTAATGTACAATTTTTTTACTTGATTAGAACTCACAATTTTACATACTATATATATATACACGCATACAAAATATATAATATAATCACCATTACATTTTCCACTTTCTCTTTCTTCTTTGCTACATAGATAGATATATAGATGGGTGTTGGCGGGTTTGTCAAATATAGAAAATAATATAATACTAAAATTATATGTTGCAAAGCTTTTTGTAAAATTATTATTCCAATTTGGCAAAAAAAAATCCTATTAAAAAAATGATATTTCTTTAGTGATTCAAATCAATTTATAGCATAAAGTCTTTATTAAACATCATAAATAATGCAATCAGTACCCCTGCACGTTCATCATAGAAAAAATTGCTTTTTTCTGTGTATAATAACGCGAATTTCATCATTTTGCACAATAATTAATTATATAATAATTTTTATATTTATATTTACCTTCATCTTGATGGGTTTCTTTTCTTATTTGTGTCACAACAATAATCAGATAGAAGATTTAGAGAGTAATAAATAGGCAAGAAAGAATCCATTGATTATCTATTTTATTTCCACCACCCCCACAATAATGATGATAATTTTTTAAGATTTTCTTCATTCTTCTTTCTCACTTCTTCTTTTCTTTTTTGTTTTTTTTCCAAATGTTTTTCTTTTTCAATTTGATATTTATTCCATTCCTCGGTAATAACCTCCCAATCTTTATCCTCTTGCAACCGTTGTTGCTCGTAATTATTATTATCATTATTATCATTATTATTACTATTATTGGATTTTGGTGTATATCGAGGTATTATTATCTTCATTTTATCATGAAATTCCTGTAACTTTTTCATTTAGATGATGATGACGATGATGATGATATTTATTTAATGTAAAATTGGTATTAAGAAATGAAATCATTATTATTAATGAGAAATCAAAATAAAATAAATAAATAAACATCAACTAATTACATTATTGACTTTTAACCAAGATCCAATTCCAATTGTTAATAAACCAGCCGTTGATAAACAAAGAATTGTTCCTAAAGCAAAAGTTTTCAGAGTAAATAAAGTTGCTATTCTATATCTTGCAAACTCGTCCAATTCTGCCATTTTTTTAGGTGTAAGGTCTTTATATGTTCCTTTTGATTCTTTTAATCATCCAATAAAAAAATAAAAATCGTAGTCATGATATGTGTGATGTGTGTGTGTGTGTGTGTCAGAAAGTGTAGAGAAAAAAATTTTTTTTAATGTTTTTACCTGCACGTTTAATTGCCCATAATGCACCAAGAAAGCCTGTTAGAAAAGAAGTAGCCCCAATATTTACGATAAGTTTATTAGCATCAAATGACTCTTTCTGAGAAGCATCAATAAAATTGTTATTGTTTTTTTTTTGAGTATTAGAGTTTATCGAAGACATTTTTTTTATTGCTCAAAATAAAAAAAAAAGGTAAATTTTATTTGATAGAGATCTGCATGAATTCTTTCTAATCTCCATTTATTTATATTCATCAAAAATGAAAGAAATATTTTGGATTCGAAGCAAATACATTCGATAACATTAGGATCAATTGTCGTACAAGTTTTGTCGTTAATGATTATAGTTGTAAAGGACGTGACAGAAATGAAAAGGTCAAAAGGGTAGTTTCAGGGATTAGTAACTAGAGATTTATAATCAATATAATATTCTTTGATCGAATTAGTATTAAATGTCATTGCTTTTGGACCAATGAATCATTTTATTAGATATCAACATTGGTACATTCGAATATTTGATGCTTGCGTGGTTGTTACCACATTTTTATTAGATATGCTGTTAAGAGGTAAAGGAATGGACATTGCCGAATTTTGGTTTTGTTTAGGTTATGGAAAGTTACAAAGTCGTTGACAGTTGTGACGGTCAATGTTAGTGAGATTGAAGAGGAAAAAACTGATCGATTGGAGAATGTGGTCAAGAGATTGAGATTGGGAATTGATAATGTTAGCAGGATGGATGGGATGAAAATAGACGTTCGATGAACAATTCGGATTTAGATTCAAAAATTTCCAATCGTCAATAAATAATTGCAAAATAACATTAATATTCACACACATATCAATTTATTATTATCATTATTATTATAATTATGATTTTTTGCGATTTGATCGAATGATGTGCGTATAAAAAAATCTAATTACAAAAGTAATTTGACATTTTTAATTGTTATATAAAGGAAAAACTTTTTAAAACATCCATAATTTGATATTTTGCAAAAAAATATTTTATGAATTAAATTTTCCTGTAATTTTTTTCGAAAAAAGAAAATAAAGTCAATAAAAAATTATTTAAACGCAACAACACCAACAACAGCAACAACAACAGCGATGCTTATTGGTATTATATTGTTATAAACCGATTAAATTGATTACCACGATTTAATTTTTCTTTAAAACTTCTCTCAATCTTTCGACTTCACTCTCTAAATGAATAACTTGTTCACGTAACTGATTGTGGCAAAAACGAAACTTGTCACGAGAACGTCTTGCAGCCAAACGATTCCTTTCACGTTTTCTTTCAAGCCTATATTCATCGTCTGTTCGTCGTAATCGATTCGAAGGTTTCCTTTTGTTGATGCCGTTATTATTATTATTATTATTATTATTATTATTATTATTATTATTATTATTATTATTATTATTACTATTATTATTATTATTATTATTATTATTATTATTATTATTATTATTGGTAGTATTATTGATATTATTATTATTATTATTGGTGGTATTATTGATATTATTCTCGAAATTAAGATTGGGATTAGTATTATTATCATTAATATTATTAGAATTAAAATTAGCGTTAGGGATAGCGCTGCTGATGGAATTGGTGGTGTTAGTAGCGTTGTTATTGGTGTTAGTGCTGGTGCTGGTATTATTAGTAATAGCTTTGGTAGCAGCAGTGTAGGCAACCTTATTAATACTACTATTACTACTATTACCACTATTAATGCTACAATTATCATTAATGCTGTTGGTGGTGCCGGTACTGGCGAGGAGAGCGGTAATATTGATGACTTCAGATCCATAATTATCAATTGAACAAGATTCATTGTTGCCAAAATTACAGGTAAACTGTCGTAATTGAGATTGTTGTAATTGTAATTGATTATGATTTTTATGATCATCATAAAAAAATATTTGATAATTATTATAATTACTATTATTATATTGATTATTATTAATATCATTATATACTTTGTATTCTTCGCCATAACGCATCATATTATCGATATTCCCAACATTGGACAATGACAATTTATCATTAAAAGAAAATATTGGTAAATTCCACAATAGATATTCGTCGTCTGTATGATCATTATCATCATTATTAATAATAGATTGAAAAGTTTTGTCGGCCATTTGAAAAGAAGAGGAGGAGGCAGAGGAGAAGAAAAAAGTAAAGAAAATTAAAAATTTTTTTTTGCATTAATTGATTTTTAAATAATAAACCCCCTTTTGATCAAGCAAGTTACGTGACATTTTAAAAAAATCTACTGATGTAAGCTCAAAATAAATATTATCACAGAACCATCATATAAATTGAATTATCTCGTAATTTCTTAATTATCCTTTGTGTAAAATAATATACTGATTCATTATACATAAATTTTAATTAATTAAAAAAAATTTTTTTGTGGAATAATATGAACATGTATTATATGCGGGTTGTGTGGATTGAACACACGGCCTTCAGATCTTCAGTCTGACGCTCTCCCAACTGAGCTAAACCCGCGAATTATCGGAATTTTATTTTTTTTTTATTATTTGAGAACAATTATATTTTTTTTCAATTACAACTAATATTTTTACTGATATTCTACTAACATTCTACTAACATTCTACTAATAATCAAAATTATGGTTAACAGTATGTCTAAAAGTCCTTCTTAATATCATCACCAGAGCTGCATTCTATGCCTGGAAAAATTTTTCTAATTTTTTTTTAATTGTGATATTAATATACGTTATCCTCATTGTCTTATAAACTAACTGCCAGAAATTAAAATCATCGGACTTAAAACTAAAAATTATGCTTTCCTCGAAATTTTTTAGTACGACATAAATCTGCCCTTTTTAAAAAAATTCAATATTTCTACAAGAGTTTTCTCAAGTTTCAAACCAATTTCATATAAGTTTTGATTTGGAAACGAAATTTTGAAAATGATAATAATCTATCTCCTTCTCAAGCTCTATAAACAAGTAATACCCCCTATTCATCACGATTATTATGTTGGTGATGTAAAGTTACCATTAATGGATCACATAAACATTCACTTGTACGATAATAAGTGGAATGCTATTCTATTCCTATCAAAAATTTTTTATTTTTTTTTCTTGAAACATTGTACCTAAAAACGTATTTGATATTGTGTAAGTGTTGATACGCGCGTGTGATATTATAATTAATTAATTAATAATTGTATGTTTGAGTATATGCAACATTATATCATATGTGTGTGTGTACACTCACTTTAATACCTCCAATATCCAAAATAATTATTCCGTCTACTCCCATATTTTTATTATGTTCTTTGTCTTTTTTATCCTTTTCAGTTTTCATATTTTAATAAAATTTTTTAGTTTTTAATGGTTTCCGTGTTACTATGGAGAAGGAAGGACCTGAAACAAATCGGGGTGATTTGGAACTCGATTATTTATTATTGTTACACAATCTTTAAAAGAGAATACTATACCAAAAATGCAAGAGCAAATATTGGGTAAAACGGTAATACGACAAGTTCAGCAATTTTGCCTTGTTGGATTTTTCGGGAAATGAATTGACGGAGCTTATGTTTTTTGCGTTTTTGCTTTACCATGAAATATTATCGTGATACAAGCATAAGCAAAATAATATACTCATGTCTTGTTTTCCCCTCCCTCCTGAATCAAGAAAAATCATGACAGCACGGAAATTCAGGGCCTTGGTCATCAGCCACAATTTAAAGCAGCTTAGGGTCACATGAGTAGAATTCACAGTCATATTTTAATTCACTTGATTTAATACCTTTGGGGAATGAATGGCCATCTCTTATTCATCTTCAATCTGTTTGATTCAATGGTAATTTTCTTTTTTGCAGCAAATATTTGAATTACAACTATTCAATCAGCCGCTTATCAAGAACTTGGGATTAGGGTCTTAGATTTTTCTTTATTGATATGATTTTAATGTAAATATTAGTTTTTGATCAATGTTAACAGCCAAACATTTGTTATTAAAAGTTTTCCCGGGAATAAGCAATAACAATCGATTTTTTTATACAAATATCTTTTTTTTCGTGAATAAGTAACTTTATAAGTTTTTTATTATTAAAAAATAAATCTAAAATTTATATATTTAATATATATATATATATATACTACTCTTTAACATTGAGAACTCTCTTAAAGGATTATTTATACTTTAATTTATCATCGTTTGATTAAATCTCCGTGAATAAGCAACCGGTTAGCATCAAAGAATAAAAGAAGTTGTTGCTTATTCCGACAGAATACAGTGTTCTCTGTCATTTCATTGCTTAGACTTTGTTTTATTTAATTCGATTATTGAATTTAACTTTTTGAGGTTGTTTATTCGTCATATTCATTCATCAGGTCAATCCCAGATAAATTAACTGCTAATTTTCTATCTTTCAAATAATCGCTTATACCATTAGCTGAACTTAATTATTTTGGAAAAATGTGCTTTTCAAAATTCTTTACGTAAAATAACTATGCTTTAGACTAAAGCATTCAAATACATATGAACATTTATTGTTATCAAATGCCATTAAATTATTTTCTAGTTATTATCTTAGGAATTCTGAATATGAAGTGTCATATTTGAGGTGCTTGGTCACGTAAGTTACTATTGGCAGTTATGACAAATGACTAAAATGACAAATGACAAGGCGTTTGGTCACTTGAAAGTCAATTTAAATGACACGGTCATTTGCTGAACCAATCATATTGTTTAATTTTAAATTCAAAATTTTAACATTTAATCAAATGAATTTACAAAATCAGGTGATTCTAAATTATCATTAAAAATACTACAGACTCCATTTGGCAATTATAACCAGCAGGATGTATAGTATGATCTACAGATATAAATTCTAAAGGATCAGAAATATCTTCATTATCATCAATCATATTCATCCAATTTTGAATCAATTCTACCCAATGTTCAGTTCCGTTAATAGAATTACCAGTTCCTTTTTTGAAGGCATCTAAATCCCCTTCTCCTTCAAAAGATGCTAATGTTCACAGTCATTATTTTCAATATTATCATCTCTGAGTGTCATATCATTAGTTACTTCATTTGCATCAAGCAATCTATCTTCATTATCATTGCCAACAGATTCTTGATTATGGGAATTACGATGTGATTTCTTTATAAAGGTTTCCATATCTGACTGTTTTTTTCTTTTGAAATATTTCACTCCTCAATTGACACATTCCAAGAACTTTTTCGTGCTTTTAATAAAAAGATTTTTAATTTTTATTAATCAATCATTTTATAATAAAACTTAAAATTGAAAACTATGTTTTTTACACACATAAGACAATTCCCTTTTTTTGAATGTATAAACCCATATTGGATCAGAGTCTTGCAACAGAGGCAGAATTTATACAAATTCCATGCAAGTGAAGAACTAATCTTTACAATTCAAGTGCTTCACTTTTTGCTAAATAACTAAATCAACTATTTCACAATCAAGTTGACTAAATGTTCTCATATCAAAACTATAAGCTTTCTATTGATATAATAAATATTCACACAAAATTCTGATTGGTGGTGCACCAAATCAAGCATGATAAAATAATTAATCCACTGACCAAAATAAGTACATGAAAGATTGTTTATATTATTTTTAAAAAATGAAATTCTCTATTATGGATGAAGGACTAACGATAAAAGCAAAAGTGGTTGTTCCATCTTTTTTCAATACCCATATTTCATATAAACAATTTTAAAAAAAAAATGAATTGATCTACCTCTTTTGTCATACAATAAATTGGTAAAACTTTATTGGTTTATTTAAATGACCAACCCAAATGACCTTAATGACCATCAAATGACCATCAATGACTTAGTCATTTGGGTCTTTTGGGTTGTTCATTTGTTATCACTGATTATTGGGGAGTTTATAAAAGAGAATTTTACGTATGAATTTTTGACTTTGGCCTGCTTTGTCCTTAAAAGGAAAGATTTATAGAAAAATTTTTAATCAAAGGTTTTATTTGTTTGCAAAGTTTATATATATATATATCAACGATTTTTTTCCAACATATAAAAACAAAAAATTTTTAAAGAAAAAATGTTATACAGTCTAAAATCACTACAGTTCCCTTAATTTCATGTTTGTATCTCTTTAATTGAAGGAAGAGATGACGAAAGAGATATAATTTTCTTTTATTTAGGGAATTGTTATTCGCACCCCACGTGACTAAGTGTAGTAAGGTGACCAATGAATGGCTTAGCCAAATAAATCGCTTAGAAAATGACTTGATCAAATAAATCGCTTAAAATGTGATGATTTTATTAGTTCATCTTTGTCTTAGTCACGTGGGGTGCGAATAACAATTCCCTTTATTATGACATTACTTATTAGGCATCTCCCACCAGTATATGTATATAGTAATATAGGACCATTGAATGTGATCGCCAATACTATGATTCGAAAGAACTTTTAAAAAAAATGTGAACGCCTCACTATAGATTCGCATTAATAGTTATTATATACTGTAATAGTAATTCGAAGAAAATATCCATCGGTTACACTTATTTGCAATATTAATATAGTAATAGTAATAGAGGAGTTATCGGTTACACTATAATTCGCATCAATAAACACTATTATTATTATTATTATTATATATAGTAAAAAAGGTAAAATAATTCCTTATGAGTCACGCCAACAACATACCCCAACTTTCAAGAATTAGTTAATACTAAAAAGCTATTTGAAAAACTTCAAAAGACATTCCGAGAGTAATAATAAGATTTTTAGATTATTTATCATATATTTTTGTTAAGGTTTATCTTCCAGTATCGCTATTCATATTACACTATGAGAAGTAGTTTTTTTTTTGGGATATGTTTTTATTCTAATATTAATCCTTGTTTGATCACAGTAGATTATGAAACATTTTAATTTATAATCATTTTAGTATGTCAAGTACAAAAAACTTCCTTTTAAATATTTTAATTAATAAAGGCTATTTCGATTCGAATTATTAATATTAATGTGTTCGGAAAATATATTCGCATAATTACAATTATAAGTCAAAGACTCCTATTAATATTAATATGATTTGTCATTTAATTTGGCGGCCACATACAATAGAATTTTCCTGGTCCTGTGTATATATACTTTTTTCATTATTTATTTATTTTATATGTTTTTACTTGCCATTCTGTTTTTTTTTTATTGTATTTAAGAATAGTGAAAGAATTAGTACTTGATCTAGATGAAGAAAATAAAAGAGGGTATTAGCAATGAAAAAGAAGAATTTTCGCAGAAAAGTAGACGTTACATTATTAAATGAAAAGTCATATCGTGTCATAATTTGAGTTTTTCATTGAAGCTTGCCTTTCGTCTTGAAAGAAAATTTTATTTAATAGTTGCCCGGATAGATATAAATGCTTTAAGAAAAATTATGATCCATTATTTTTATCGTAAATATGAAAGATATAATTATGAGAATTCTTAGTTTACGAAACTGGAATATTTAGTGCGTTTGTATATATCACGTAAATCTTTTTTCCTTCTCTATTACTATTATAACCAAGTAGGATACGGAATATAGAGTCCGCTTAATAAATACCAGTTAATGGCTATATCATCAATTTCTTAACGGGCTTCTGGTAAAAAAGCTTTATGATTTGACACTCTTTATAATAATGAATTTAATAAATTTTATCTATTAAGATATAGGCCAAAGATGGTAGAAGTCTTGGATAATTCTTTGAAGCAAGAAAAAGATTTGCTTCAAGATAACGGAAACCTATTGACTTTCATAACAAAAACGCATTCATCACCTTGAAACCAAAAAAAAATTTTTCTTCTTTTGTATAATATCAATACTACTGTTTTTGAATGGCAAAAAAATTTTTTTAATAAAACTAAATATTTTTGTACGGAGATGCTATTGCTATGTTACAATAACGATTCAACTCATTCTTCTTCAGGACCAGAAATATTACTTTAACTCCGTGCATGGAATCTCAATGCGAGTCGTCGTCATGTTGTATATAATTCTCATTGTAAAAAAAAACAAGAATGAATGTTGCACCAATACATATTACTTTCTACATATAAAATATTATTTGCCCAATATCCTTGTTTTGTACCTTTGTTTAACAAACAGTAACCACGTTCAGTTTTTCATTTGGATCACCAAATTTAGAATGAATATATAAAATTTTTTATATATATTTAACGTGGTTTTAGATTTTTTTTTTAAAAGTAAAAATGTCAAGGATTGCAAATTCAAATGTTGCTGGATACATGCAAGGTGTTGGTCAAGCGCTTACAGATGATACAACTTATCATATATCAAGTTCGGCAACCACTGTATTGGGAGCTACAGCTGAAGTAGCTGAAGGTTAGTAATAAAAATAAAAATGAATATCTGTTAAAGATGAATATATTTATTATTGCATAAAACATAATAATTAATTACTTTGAGGTTTGAAAAACTAGCTATAACGTTATTTCTTCCAATGATTGGACTTGTAGCAGAATTGACTGCAAAAATAATAGAAGCGTATAATAATGCACAAATTAATAAACGTAGTTGTACAGCTTTAGTAAATCGAGTGCAAGCGGCTGAAGTGGCTGTTCAAGCATTGGTTAGGAATAGATACGATAACGAGGAAAAATTTAAAGATAAAAATTATTATCATTGTTTCCAGAGATTTGTTAATCTTCTCAAGGATATCAAGAAATTTATTGTAGATGTGACTCAAATGAGCGGTCTAAAAAAATTTTTTCAATCTGGTTCAATTAAATCAAAATTTGAAAGATATATTAAGGATTTTGATAGCACAGTAAATGATTTGAATCTTGCTGTAGTTATTGCCAGTGAAGAGCAACGTCAAAAAGATTTTAAAGTGATCTCAGATTCTTTTGAGACCATTATGAAGGTAATATGCGTTAATGATTGTGTAATGATTTTATGTATTATGTTTTCTTAAATGCTGAAAATATTTTTTTAAAATATATAGTTCTTGGAGAATGTGGCAGGAAACGTTGCAGTAGTGAAAACTCACAATAATGAAAAAATTATAGAGATGAACACTAATTTTTCCATAGTACCGCAATTAAAACATCAAGTGGATCAATTAACAAAACAACTATCAGAAGGAACTGATGCTCAAAGTAAACCAAAGCCGAAACCTAAATTTATTCAACCAAATGAATTAAAAAATGCAAGACATTACACGAATTGTACACAAGACAGTGGAAAAATTTTGAGAAAGATGTATATGTGTATGGATGTAATATGTAAACGTATTGTTCTCACCCCTGAAAACGATTTTGAAAGTGATAGACAAAAAAAACAATCTGAAAGAATTCAAGCTTACTTAACAATTTTGGCTAATCTGCGTAATTCTCCTTATATTCTTAATTTTCTTGGTCTAACCAAATTGCATGGTTCTGATTATATGGTTTTTGAATTTGCTCAGAAGGGTAATCTAAAAGAAATTTATGAAAATGAAGATATTGATTGGCCAACAAAAATACAACTTGCTGTGGATATTTGTCGTGGAATAGTGTATATCCATGGTTGTAACATATTACATCATGACATTAGATGTGAAAATATTTTGGTGAGTATAATAATACTATGTATATATATATGTATTTTTTTTTGTGTGCATAATATTTATTATTTTTGTTTATTTTTCACGAACAATTTTTTTAGTTAACAGATAAATGGTTACCAAAAATTACAAATTTTGAATATAGTCGAGGTTTAGATGCTTATACAATAGATCTAGAAAATAGTGTATTAACAATGGTACATTGGTTTCCGCCTGAAAAAATGTTACATTATCAATTAAATCAAGATGGTAAAGTTGTTGTTGATAAAAAAAAATACTCTCCTTATACCAGACAAAGTGAAATATTTAGGTAAATTATTTATTTCCATTTTTATATTTAAATTTAAATTTAAATTTATATTTACTATATCTATATATATATATTATAGTTTTGGTATGACACTTTGGGAACTTGCATATCAAAGAATTCCTTATAAAGGTAAGAATTTACAAGATATTCAAAAACATGTAACAAGTAATCGAAGAGAAGATACTTCACCTCCTCACATTGGCGTCCCAAGTTATTTTCAAAATTATATAAAAATAATAACTCAAAGTAAGTAGTAATTATTGATA